CGAATTGGCTGACAGATTATATTTTCTAGTATATTAGAAAAACAAGACCCGTCTCTACTATAGTTGTTCGTGTGGAATGAAATGCCGAGATTCCGCGTACACATCGGTTTGTACGTAAAAGATCTCTTGGTATTTGGAATTCAGTATACGAGTAAGTCGCCGCTGTCCAAGCAAGATTTCCCTTATAGCACTCTGTATGGCGAATGCCCGTGGGAGCAGAACCCCATTTCATATAGCTAACTTTCATACAAGAGCCTTGTTTCACACGGAAATAACCCGTTTTAACCAGTAAATTATCTATTCGAGAAGTAGGTATCACAATCTGATTAAAATACAGATCCTAATTTCGTTTCGTTTTATAGTTCAAAATTTCGTTTTACTTGTCATTACTGGAATAGTTGTTATATAACCGCGTTCTGGATGATGTGAGGGATTAGCCAATGAACCGGTCTGTTACGGCGAGTTTTTGGCGTGAGGTACACGGAACTGTGGGTAACCCACTAGAAACATCAATGCTGATTGGTTAATTATATGTTTGACGCCATAAGTCCAAAAGCCACTCGCATGACATCTGACGCGACCTGCCACTACAACCGGTCAGATCTTCATGTTGCAGAGGCCACCGAAAGTATAAAAACGAAACTAAATATAGATCTGCATTTTAATCAGATTGTAGTTATCACTTTAAACAGGAAAATAAAGATCTTTAATTTACATCTGATTATATCCATTACAACCATAAACTGACCTAAGTGAGGAAATTATTATTATTGACTATCTTATATACAGCACAAAAGTGTTTGTTGACTTACTCGGAAACTCAGTAGAATTTTAGCTTAAAGTAGCTAAGTCTCTAACTCAATATCATCCAAAATCTTCGACATTGAAAACACAATTTTGTCTCAATTTAAATCAACATTGTGATCTTACCGGGAAAAGATGGGCTTCTGATATCCAATATTTAAGACAAAATAAACATTTTACCATTGGTACACGAATCTTAAAGTAGCTAAGTCTCTAACTCAATATCATCCAAAATCTTCGACATTGAAAACACAATTTTGTCTCAATTTAAATCAACATTGTGATCTTACCGGGAAAAGATGGGCTTCTGATATCCAATATTTAAGACAAAATAAACATTTTACCATTGGTACACGAATCGTGTACCATAATGCGTTTCAGGCCCATTCTAACAAGGGACTCGAAGAACGAGGCTAAAACAAAGTAACACGTCTGACACTCCTGGTGGAAAGTTTTAACTGTCCATATAAGAGTGTTTCTCGGCGTCTCTAGCCTTAGTAACCAATCATCATAATTAATTACGTAATATGTATCCAATTAAATAATTGACAGAGCTGCCCCAGGGCCACTGTCCATGTTAAAAGACTGATTTAGATTCTATAGAGTGTGACTCTAGAGAAAGCAAGTCCCATGTAACTTCGTTGGGAGATACCGTTGAGATTCACGAGACATCATTTGGATTAAGAATTCCCCGTTAAGTCGCAGGAGAACCATATGATGTAACTAGACCGTCAGTAAACTCAATTTGTGAGTTAGGGGGTTGTCGGGGGGGGGGGGAAGACATTAATTTTAAGTATTGTAATGTAACCTAACGCGCACGCGCTACCCCCACCCAGCACAAATAAGAGAATTGTAAAAATATAAAAAGACAATACTAGACGACCACAAGGCTAATAAAATCTATGACAGGAGAGAGTATGCGTCACACGTCGGATGTGTTGAGTTTTAGGCTAATAATGAATCACAAAGGAAGAGTTTATATCGGAAAATCAAAGTAAAACAAATACAGTTACGCATAGAATGTTTTAAAGATGCATTATATAAGATTTAGATAAAGAGCTGTAATAGTTCAATAGATAATGAAAAATGAATATACTAAACATATTATTCAAACTACTTTAGTTTGAGCTACAATAGATATTTACAATATGAATATGTTATTCAAATTACTTTAGTCTGAGCGAAGTTGTGGCTGTTTGAAGATATAGCGTGTCCATTTAACCGTTAAGTTTTTAAATCTCGCGGATGTTTAAATCCATTTAAACCCCGGACATCCGATGTCCTGAAACGTTGCTTATTGGCTTGTCATGTCAATAAATGTTTAAATAATAATAATTTATGTAACATTTGAAGCCAAAATAAAGACCCGCAATAAGCAGATTTACTTCTTACATAATATATGCTAAATGAGGGGCCGGGGACGTTCACGTGGCTAAGACGCTGGCTCGCTAGCATGGAGGTCGGGTGTTCGATTCCTGCATTGGCCGAGAAAGTTCATTCAGATTTTCCGGCGTGGTTTCCCCTTGTCAGTGATGCAGGATGGAGGTCCTGACAAGGACAGCTGTCTAGTCGTTCGGATGGGACGAGAAACCGAGGTCCCGTATACACATTGGTGTGCACGTAAAAGATCCCTTGGCAGTTGGAATTCGATATAAGAGTAGGCCGTAGGCAAAATTTCCCTCATAGCACACTGTGTGGCGTATGTCCGTCTTCATTAGCCCAGGTTAGGAGCAGAACAATAGGACGTTAAACCCAATTTCATTTCCTTAATAGGGCTACTCTAAATGTAGATAACAATGCTACTAACAATGGGTGACTGGATTTGTATGACATGAAACATAGGCTGTCTGTCTACAATTGGCAGCGCCTGGAACTAGACACGAAGCTTGTTGACTGACATTTACTTCCTAAATCGTTGTTTTTAATCGAAAAAACTAGAAATATTTATTCCACTTTCATTCAATAGAATTGAAAAGGTTTGTTTAGTTTCTCCGGGTATTACAGATATAAACGAAGTAAAGCTGCATTACAAAACAGTACACTAACTTTTAGATATGGCGACCGTTCAGCTCAGAGAGCTATTGTCGAAGTAGATAATGGATTTGTATATGTTAATCAGTATAATATACTATAGACACAGTACGCGATATCACTCTTTGTTTGCGACACTGAACTTGGCGGAATCTGGTGTAAACCTATATTAGTGGTAATACCTAATACTTTTCCGAGAAGGAGAAAAAGCCAGAGAGTTTAGAGGATGTTGGTCATTAAGGGTGAACTAAAGGGCACAGGGTCTTTAAACATTCTAAAGTACAAATTATTAATCAACTTCCACTCCCTCCTATCCCTGACGGGCTTTAGCACATTTGAGACCTCTGGGGAAAAGCAATTTGCTAGGGCTCCTAACACTTCAATACATTTCAGCAATGCAAGTTTTGGTGTAATAAGCTGGAATTCGTGCTCGTTTATTTGAATGCCCTTTCATTTGGATGCGGTAGTGCATATTCGACTTAACCATATATTCAATCAAGTGTGTAATCAGCATTCTTTTGGAGGTCGCCAATTCTTTTAAGGGAATCTGGCGACTAGATTCGTGGAGAACTATTAGGGGTCTTGGAAGCTCCTCATTATTTAAGAGCTAAATCTGCCAATTTCAGGTTTTTTTGGCCTCAGTTGTTATATAAATTAGTCATTAAACAATTATTCACGTGATCTCTAGATCATCGGATGGTAGTGGCTCTGCTTGATTTGTCAATACCGGCTGACCACAGTTCGGCAGTTTTTGCACGAGGTCACTTGATTTCACCAGAAGTCGACAAAATTTCGGCTGCGGCGTACGCCGAATGCGCCGCTTTGCAGGCAGCGGCAAACACCGGCGCAAGAAGGTGGACATGTCAACGAGATAAAATTTACGTTATTTAAGAATGTCATAAAACACTAATTTTAAAGCGTTAAAATTAAACCAAATGTTTTGAAGTTCAATTTGAGCGTCGTAATACCAGAAGTTCATATGTCATTTATTTTTTCTCAGTAATATTACTAATAATAATTTGCTGCTTATTTTGCGGGCACATTCAAGTCATACTGTTTTTGATTAAAACATGTCATGTAACCGGTTTAATATTATAACATTATCTGACGCCATATTGTTTATCAGCCGGGTCACATGATTTGCTTCGATCCGGTAACCTGACCTGCGTACGCCGTAGTAGAAACCGGCTCACCTATTGGCGGACAAATCAAGCAGGCCCGGTGACTTCTAATGGATATAAATAGTATATAGTAATTAGACAGGCCCATAATCAATTCTCTAGATCACCGGATCGTAGTGGCTTCTAATGGATTTAATAATTTAATTTAAAAATGGAAAAAAATCATGACTTTTCCTTTATTAGCATGACTATGGTAGCAACGAAACTCGAGAATACGCTATATATTCTAATCCAAACTTCCAACATTCATAACTTCGTTTAAGTAAAGCAATTTGATTGAAAATTTCAATATATTCCCTTTTCATTATCTATTTTTAACATAATAGCGAGAACATATCAACCCTTTATCTAAATCTTACATAATAGATCATACAGTTTGTAAAGATTCAATAAATAACTCTGGTATATTTTATTATAATTTGGCGAGGGCGTTGCGAGCATCACGATTACAAGGCAAAATTGTTGAAACCCACGAAAAGCTACCAAAATAGCTGAAATCCATGAATAGCCACAAAATTAAAAAGATGGGTCAAACGGTCATACTACAGATCATAGATTACAACGCAAAATTGTTGGAACCAACGAATAGCTACCAAACTGGCTGGAATCTATGAATAGCCACAAAATTAAAGACAGGGTCAAACTGCCATACTTCAAAATCATAGATAAAACCTTGCACTTACCTTTTCCTGATTATCACAAGAATTTATTATAAGTCTTTATGTCCAAGCATCAATATTTAATGAGGAAATATTTTTAGTACATCATATTATACACCCGACCCACACGGAAGTCAATTAACGAAAGTCCTATTGGCTTGTTTTTGTATCCTAATTGTTATGCCTTTAAAACAAGTTAGTTGAAAGGTGGAACAGAAAGATTATGATATAGAAAGCAAATCAGTTGAAACGTGGACCAGACAGTATATGATATAGAAAGCAAGTCATAAAATGAAATAAAATACAATGGGTTTTAACATCCTACCTTTCTGCACCATCTGGGTTAATGAAGACCGACATACGCCTTGTAGTTTACTATGAAGGAATTTTGCCCGGACAGCGGCCCTACGGACTACTCTTATATAAAATTCCAACTATATCAGATAAATATACAGTAGTATGTCTTACAAATAATGAAAAACGTTTGATGTCTTCAACATGATATCTAAGGAAATCCGCTACACGAGACCATTAATCAGCATGACGTGTAATGCTGGCTTAATCAGGCTTAGTATAATATGCAGGGGGTGGGGTGATGTGCTTGTATATATGCTACGTCGAAAGTAACAAATAAAAGGAGGGGAAAGTCGGAGAAGCCTAAAAATTCATCAACTAAGATTCAGTCTCCTGGTAAATGACCAATACTACCCAATACCATGCCAATACTCAATACCACCCCAATATCACGACATGATACCCAATACTACAACATAATGATGAAAAATTGGCATATGGGAGTTATATCGCGGAAAATGTACTTCAAATGCGATTACCGATGCCTTGCTATTCCATTTGCCTCCCTATGTGACCCAAAACGAGCAAATAATAACCCAATACTACCCAATATTATCAACAACCTAATATTGTCAAATAGCAGAATATCGGTATAATTATTGCAACGAATATTCGATAATTTGCAGAAAATTGAAATATTTACACCATATGGGCAAACACTTATTAATTGTAGTGCGAGTTATAAATAGACCATTTTTCTCCTCTTTTCCTGCAATTTTTGGTTGACCTTTTGGAGTAGCCTTGGAGAAAAGGGATCAAATTTGCAATTTCATAGCAGTTTCGGGGTAATACTGATGATATTACAGCGGAGGGATAGGGGGTGAAAAGTGTCATTCTGCAGAGCAATCTTTGTGTCGGAAGTGAGATTTTTACCCCAGTCAACATCAAATCCCCGTAGCAAAAAATGTAAATGGTCAACCCCCTAAAAATTTATGATGAGGATATTGCCAAATGTGGTCCCCATTGTGCCTATAAAGATTGGAACCAACGAAATGTTGGGCAAAATGCTACAGCCTGTGGTGTTACAGCCATTTAATATTGATGTCAATGGGCAAAGAATTACTAGTCTTAGTCCATGTCATGCGGTTGTAGTTATCTCCCTTTGCAACTGATAACAAAATTTCTGGGCCGGGCGCCAAGAAAATCAGCCATTGACACCACCGACAGCGGTTGTCGAGACGCTATCGTGTGATAGTCTGTCTGACGACGGGGGATGGGAGGGTTATGGGGTGTCACATGCCTACTACGTAGTCATGGCCCCATGTGTCCACTACATGGTAGAAGTGGGGGCGGTGGTAAGACAGCTGACTACTAACGACTACACAGTGGCGAGGGGGGGGGGGGGTAGCACAATGATCCGCCTTACAACACCTAACTCTATTTTTCTCCACAGTCCAATTATTTGTGGGTGAATATTCAACAGACAAAATCAGCTCTCGCGGAGGGCTTCGACTCTGCATTAACTTGGTGCACATATGGCATGTGAACCTTGTGCTGGGTAATCAAATGTTCATCAATGTCTTCGTACAAGTCTCATTTTGATTGAGTGCAAGCATTTCAAGGATATTAGATCAAATTTTTACCGTTGTCGGTCATTACATCACATGTTTGCCCAACCGGGTTGATATGGTAAAGTGTTAGACTTTTTAAAGGAGACAGGATTTTATCATAAATTTTAATTGTATATATATATATATATATATATTATTTTTAATTTTACTAACTGTGATATTGTTTTTATTTATGCATATAATGTTTTTCTGTGATATAATTTAGCCTGTCTTGTAATATTCACCATATGTTTGGCGCAATATAGCCCGGTTGGAGCTGACGTGCCATAAATCCACATTTCATTTCATTTCGTACAAGTCAAACTAACGTAACGTGACTGAAGTAGCATGGTAGCATTCTATTAATAGCTTTTGGCACACCGACTATGCCTCTGGCTTTTAAAAATACCACTCGTCGTCCCAAAGGTTACTTCCTGTCTACCAGGAGGGGGGGGGGGGTTGTTAGCACGGATAACCATAGCGTAGCCCCAGGGCTCGACGAGGGGTATACTCAAGCCAGAAGGTAACCAGCGGCTCTCAGACAGGATACGCCCACATTTTCGAGAAATGGATAGAGAACAAGCTAAAAAGAAAGTGGTTTTTCCTACAACCAAGGGCCATAATTCAGGAAATTTCAATTCGATATGCGCAAATATCGAAAGGAACCGAGATCTTTGGGTTAAAAACTTACATTTCAAGTTTCAAGAAAATCGGATAAAAATTGTGACCTCTATAGGGTCCACAACCTTGATATACCATATTTTTACGCTATTTGAGACCGAGGGGCGGCCATTTTGTCTGTCAGTTTTGGGCCGATTTTCACGAAATTCGAACTCAGCCGTCCTTACGGTGTAACGGTGATATACTAAAATGTTTTTTTTTTACATCGGATAAAATAATTATGACCTCTAGAGGGTCCGCAAGCTAAAAATGCGATTTTTCCTACAATCAAGGGCCATAATTCAGGAAATTACAATTCGATATACGCAAATATCGACAGGAACCGAGATCTTTGTGTTATAAACTTACATTTCAAGTTTCAACAAAATCGGATAAAAATTGTGACCTCTATAGGGTCTACATCCTTGATACACCATATTTTTACGGAATTTGAGAACGAAGGGGCGGCCATTTTGTCTGTCAGTTTTGTGCCGATTTTCACGAAATTCGAACTCAGCCGTCCTTATACGTCCATGAAAATGTGGGCGTATAAAAATACCTTACCAACCTGATTGACTTAAGCTGCCGCTCAGTAGAATGTGCATAGGACACAGAGGTTAAGTTGCAGAGTGTAAGAAGGGTACATTCTACAGAGCTAAAACAGCCAAAGCCGATTGATCAGAGTGGGCCACTGTGGCCCCCCGTCTAGGTGAATCATACGAAGAATATAATCTTATCACCCCCTACACCCCAAGGGGGGGACGCAGTTAATTCCAAAGACTGGTTTAAGTATAAAGCAATATCAAATATTTTATTAAAATAATACAATAAAATTATAGTAAACGACAAAATGCTGTAATGTTTAACTTAAGCGAATCATAATTTTATAATGAATATAATACACATTTGTTTAATTATACAATTGATGGTGTTCCCATCTTTCAACAAAGTGAGGGATATTACATGACAGTTGTGTTTGAAATTCATATTAACCATACATACGGAATCTGACCATGTTAGCAGTCAATTCCCCAAATATAGAACATCGAAACTTAGTATTGGGAGGGGGGGGGGCATTTTATTGTGATCTAGGATCCCCATACAGCGAAGTTTCGGTTCTTTCGAACAGTGTCTGGTTAATCGAAGTAATTAAACAGCTCAGAAATATATCCCTGGTTATCCAGTAAATATCTGTTTTTTAAAATCACTGTCGAAATTAGTATCAATTTACATTAATTAGTTTAAACATATTATTCTATTGTATCAACAAAAACAACTTTGGACCAACTGAGTTGAACTAACATTATTAAAAACTTACACACGTTATTGATATAAACATAAATTGTGTGAATAAAATAATGCAATTTACGCATATAATTGTAATAATATGCAAGAAAAATAAATATAATATACCGAAAGAGAAATATACAAATAAATAAAAAATATTGAAACAGGGCTCAAATGATTTTAGTTTGAATAAATCAGCCTTTAAGGAAGTTTCTATTTCATATAAATGGGATTTAATGCAAATAATGGCAGTGTCACTGGCAAATAATCTAGCAGTATCTTCCAAGTCATCTTGGATATCGTTTATGTACAGAAGAAATAAGAATGGGCTTAATACAAAGCCCTAGGGAACACCCGAATTAGGGTCGATAAGTAAGCGTAATTTACAAAAGCAGTTTGATTTCTATTACATATATAACTGTTTAGTAAATACAGAAATGTGCCTTGTAATCCATAACTAGACAGTTGTCGTTAATTGATGCTTTTCCAGAAAGGTGTTGAAAGCGCGAATATTTGAAAGCAAACTCAATAGTCCACTACCACTACAAAATTCGTCAATGTATCGTCAACATTTTCTGATAACTTTTCTTACAGGGAGTGTACCTTTAAGGAATTAGGTCATCCATATTATTAATAGCAGCAGTTATCTTTAACCAGAATAATTCCACACTTTCATCATCCCAACCCCATTTAATATACTTATCAACAGATAGTATTTTATGTATGGTTTTTGTTACATTCAGGGCACCAAGTTCCCTTAATACTACTACTATCATTAAATCACGCTTTTCATTGATATACTTATTATAGGCAACACTAGCTTCAAATTCACAATAACCGTCTTCGACATATTTATCAGATAAGAATAAAATGACTTTACGACTGGCATCCATATTAGATATTATTTGATCAATTTTATTTCCCTGTCCATCTCTTTGGGGGATATAAAGTCGCAGACCCATGTTCTCCTCTAATCTAGGGACAAGTACATCATATATTACGTCATCAAAGTCCGTGTCAGAGGAACTAAGATAGACATCATATTTATAATCTCCGCCACCATTTAAAAGTCTTTGGTGGCGAATATGTTGAAATCGTGCCATGTACAATATATATCGCAAATTCCATCGATAACGGTAAACAGCAGAAATAGTTAAAAGTAAGAGAAGAATTCCTGCCGATGTAGATATAATAATTACACGAACCTGTTTCGTTATTGCGCATGTACGTTCCGAAAGACGGACTTGTACGAGTTGCTTCCCTTTAAAAGGCGGCGGAGAATCACAGATGTATTCCGTTGGAAAATGAAAAAAAACATTACTAATGGAGCTTGTTTTTAGACAATTGATGAACCAAAGCAATTCACAGGAGCAAGAAAACGGATTCCCAGAGAGATCAATGTATTTCAATTGTTGAAGACATTGAAGTGAAAATGTAATTTGCTTAACTGTGGTTATTTTATTTGAGTTTAATTGTATATTTTGGAGATGATTGAAATTATTAAAATAACCTTCCGGTATATCTTTTATGTTATTGTTGTGGAGCCATAATTTCTCCAATTTATAAAGATATTTTGGAATAAAACTTGGAAGAAAAGTTAACCGACACCTAGTTAGTGACAACGATTTTACGTTAACCAAGTTGCTGAATAATTCATCGAACATTGGATTAGTAGTAAACTCAAAGTGGTTGGAGGATACTCTTAAAATTTCAAGTTGGCTACAGTATTTAAAAGCATCCAAACTGTTGCATTTATGATCCTTATCAAAATACAAGTCATCGTCATAAATATAAAGCTTCTTCAGAGATGAACTATTAAAAGCAAATTCATCCAAACACATTCCTTTGCTATTGTATACAATTGATACTACATTAAGATTTGGCAAGTTTGAAAATGTGTTGTTTTCTATATAAAAAATAAGATTATTATTAATTGAAAATGTGGCCAAGGATTTCATACAAGCAAGTTGTTCTGGATGCACAGAGGGTATGTTGTTATGGTCTAAACGCAATTCCTCAAGATTTGTAAAATATGCATTTTCGTGTACACAAAATTTTGGAAATTCTGAAAGTTTGTTATAAGAAAAATTTAATGTCCTTAATGAAGACGAATAATCAAATGTTACGGTTTTAATATAGGATTTGAGAATAGTTATAGACTGCAGATGTTTTAAAGTTGATAACTTACTATGGTTATATTTTGTCATATCAATATTCCGAATGTACAATGTTTTGATCTTTGAATTGTTCATACTCTCGTCCAGATCTAGATTCAAGGGGGAATAATAGTGTATGTATGATAAATCAAGAGTTTGTAAATCTTTCGTTACCCCAGACAAGCATTGCATCAGCCCCGTCTTTGAGATGGTACTATTTCTAATTGATAATGTTCGTAAAAAAGTCAGACCATTAAATGCATTTCGGGTACAGTTCCGTATTGAATTCGTCTGTAAATGCAGGTAGTTCAGTTTAAAATTGGTAATATTAGTAAAGGTGTGATTATCTATATGCGGTAAATAATTACCAGTAAAGTTAAGATACGTTATGTTTCGTTCAAATCTTGGTATATAATTCAGTTTATGTCCCTGGTTTAAACAGAATGCTTGGTTTATTTCATTACACTTGCACAAATTGTCTCCACATACTGTCCAATTATGTTGGTTATCACGTTCCTTGCCATAGTTGAATGTGCTGACCTCAACAGGATATAAGACCAGTAGTAGATACGCCCACATTAGAGTTTCCATCAGTATCTGTAAAGACACAAATAAAAAAAACATACGTCTAGTGAACATATCAACCACTTATTGCATTCTGGTATACATCAAATCATAAGTTGGCTGTCTGCTCTTTATCGAGTGTGTTCACATGTTATAATACAAATGTGTACAATATCTTCGGGGGTGGGGGTAGTAGTACTGTAGCCGTAGCTATCTTATTTGTATTTCGTTTTCCGGAAAAGCGCTCCGTAGTTCTATATTTAGACTATAGGTGTAAGTTTTGGTACCTACCACTTCTCTAGTAAAATCTATCGCCTGTGAAAATTTTTTATATTGTGTAAGGGTATATATTTCTAATTGCACATGCTGCCAATTTTTTTATTGCTGTTAATTGTGTCTGCCGATTGTATTTTCACAGAGTGGCGACTGCTTCATTTGCATAAAAAGTAGGTCGCGCATTGCATCTTGGGGTTTGTCTGTAATGTCACTAAACATGGTGGCTAAAGAAGACGTTTCGCAGTTCAACAGAAGAAAATACTATAATACTATAGATAATAATAACAGCAGTATATATCATCAAAAATTTTATTTTGTGAGAGTACATATTTGGTGAAAAGTGTTTTCATATTTGATTGATTAATTGGCATTATATTGCATATTATGATATATTCCAATGTAGAGTATTGAGTACTGTAGGCCTAGAAGTAGATCTATAGGTATACGTCTTTAGGCTATCTAACTTATGATAATATGACCTCTCGCTCTAACTCCCCCCTGGGGTGTAGGGGGTGATAAGAATATACCCTTCGTATTTCCTGCGTGTCGTAAGAGGCGACTAAAAGGATCCCTGTAATGGGGCAACGTGTTTGCCGTGCGTTGCGACCCGTGTCGGTGGAGAGTGGAATCCTGGTAATTGAGTGGGGATTTGGCTTGCGAGCCCTTTCTCTGCAACACATTGCTTCGGCCCACAATTCACCTAGACGGGAGGTCACAGTGGCCCACTCTGATCAATCGGCTTTGGTCGTGTTTAGCTGGCGAGTAGGCGCATCTTTTCCACTATTCTGTAATGTATTTGTTGCAGATCTACCTTTGTGTCCTACGTGCCTACTCTAAAGCAGCGGCTTGGGTCAACTAGATAGAGTAAAAATATTTTAATCTTTACTTTGTCTAGGTATATCCCTGTCTGTCCTCGTAGGGCGCATGCGCTGGATATCCGCGCAGTAGCCTGCATTGATATTGTAACCCTTTGGTGGTTGGAGAGCAGGCAGGGATGAATCTTTTAAATTACTCAAATGGCTTCTCAAACCAAGAAGACTCGAACTACCAAACGTATGTCGACCGAGGATTTAGAACCATTACCAATAAAAACTTCCCGAACCTGGCCTAGATTTCTGGTCATACAAAGTACTAACGATATCAATCTTAGTAAAACATCTCCTTTTTTGATTGCTAAAGGTCTTGCTGGCTTGGCTGGTGAGCCCAAAAGCGTCAAGAAAATGAGAAATGGTACTTTGTTAGTGGAATGTGCTAAAGAATCACATGCTACTTCATTATTAAAATCAAAGACTTTAGCCAACATTCCTATCAAAGTTGCACCGCATAACTCTATAAATTCATCAAGAGGTGTTATTCGGTCTCAGGATTTAGAAGGCATCTGTGAGGAAGAGATGCTTGAAAATCTCGCCTCACAAGGTGTTACATACGTCAAACGTATTTCCATCAGACGTAATGGTAATATTATCCAAACCAACACCTATATCCTGACCTTTGATAAACCAGATCTTCCTAGGATGATCAAAGCTGGTTTTCTTGCCATACCAGTTACCCCGTACATTCCCAATCCATTGCGTTGTTTTCATTGTCAACGCTTTGGACACAGTAAAAACGTGTGTAAGGGGAAAGCGATATGTGCTAGATGTGGACAAGATGGTCACGAAAGTACATCTTGTCAACTCGACCACCATTGCATTAACTGCAAAGGGCCTCATTTTGCTTATTCTAGAGAGTGCCCAATATGGAAGAAAGAAAAACAAGTGCAGCAGGTGAAAACAGAAAAAAACATACCATATCCTGAAGCAAGGAAGCTGGTAGAGGCTGCAACCCCAACATTTGCAATGTCTTTTGCAAATGCAGTCAAGCTCAAGACCACTTCCATTGCTTGTCAAACACCTGCTGTATTTCCAGCTGCGATGGAATCCTCGTCACCACCGAAACCTACCATTCCTCCAAAGCCCGTAAATGTTTCTCTCAACACCCAGACTGCTAATAAGTCTGGGGAGTCTGAGATTGAGGAGATTGTGCCTCCCACTCCTCAACCAATTGGTGGAAATCCACCCAAAATAGATATTAGCAAGGAACGTTCTGGTAAAGGCGTTCCTAAAAATTCTAAATTGGCTACCTTCCGTAGTAGGAAGGGTGACGAAGATCCTGTCGGAACCTATAACAGGTTCGGGATACAGGACAATCTAATGGATGTTGTTGTAGAAATACATGACCCCAAACAACATCACAGAAGTCCTGTTAAACCTCCCTGAAAATGGCTAATTCCATTATTCAATGGAATTGTCGTGGTCTGAAACCAAATTTTAATGAAGTTCAAATCTTAATTCAAAAATTTAATCCCTTAGCTATTTGTTTACAAGAAACTTTTTTAAAGAATTCAGATGTCTTAACACTCAGACATTTTGTTGCCTATCATTATTTTGCTAATAATGATGGTAGAGCACACGGTGGTGTTCCATTTTCCTTAATGGAAATATTCCGCAGAGCAAAGTCACCCTCAATTCGCCTTTACAGGCAGTTGCAGTGAGGGTGACTTTACATATTCCTATCACACTCTGCTCTGTATATTTACCACCTAGTTTACATCTGAGCCCCAGAGATCTTGATGACCTTGTTGCACAACTTCCTCTCCCGTTTATAATTACGGGAGATTTCAATGGTCATCATTCACTCTGGGGTAGTCCAGATGATAATAACAGAGGTAAACAAATAGCGGACTTCATTAACATTAATAATTTGTGTTTATTAAATGATGACTCGCCTACTTATCTACATCCTGCCACAGCTTCTTTTTCTTCTCTTGATCTAACCATTTGCTCTCCGGTCCTGTTTCAGGATTTTACATGGAGAGTGAATGAAGATCTGTGTGGTAGTGACCATTTTCCCATCTTGATAGATAATAATGGTCCCTCTCCGGTTGAAAGACCGCAGAGGTGGAAGTTACATAAGGCTGATTGGGCTCTTTTTGAATCTTTGTGTCTCTTCTCTTTTGATGCAAAAGAGTTAGAAGATGCAGATGAGCCCATGGCCTTATTCACTTCAATTCTTCAGGATGTAGCTGAGCAGGCGATTCCGAAGACCACGACTGAGCCCAAACGTTTCAATAAACCATGGTATAATAACGATTGCAAATCCGCTCTTAGAGAGCGTGATCGCATCTTAAGACGCCTTGAGAATCACCCTTCCATGGAGAATATTGCAGCATACCAAATGGTCCGGGCGAAGGCTCGTAGAACCATACGCCAAGCAAAGAAATCTTCATGGCAAGGATATGTCTCAAGGATCAATTCCCGCACCACTTCTAAATCGGTATGGGATAGGATTCGTAGAATTAAAGGTAAAAGTAGTGCATTATCAGTTAACCATCTAAATGTTGACAATACCACCTTAACAACATTTCCTGATATTGCTAATTCTCTGGCCAGTACAATTTCATTCAATTCATCATTACGTAAGGCTGATTGGGCTCTTTTTGAATCTTTGTGTCTCTTCTCTTTTGATGCAAAAGAGTTAGAAGATGCAGATGAGCCCATGGCCTTATTCACTTCAATTCTTCAAGATGTAGCCGAGCAGGCGGTTCCGAAGACCACGACTGAGCCCAAACGTTTCAATAAACCATGGTATAATAACGATTGCAAATCCGCTCTTAGAGAGCGTGATCGCATCTTAAGACGCCTTGAGAATCACCCTTCCATGGAGAATATTGCAGCATACCAAATGGTCCGGGCGAAAGCTCGTAGAACCATACGTCAAGCAAAGAAATCTTCATGGCAAGGATCAATCCTCGCACCACTTCTAAATCGGTATGGGATAGGATTCGTAGCATTAAAGGTAAAAGTAGTGCATTATCAGTTAACCATCTAAATGTTGACAATACCACCTTAACAACATTTCCTGATATTGCTAATTCTCTGGCCAGTACAATTTCATTCAATTCATCATCCAATTTCTCCTCGGATACCTTTCGGGGCATTAAACATCAACAGGAGAAAAGGCGACTTAATTTCAAGTCCCGTAATGATGAATGTTATAATGAAAAGTTTTCTATTGCTGAACTCCGTGATTCTCTTAAAAGGGCTAAGGATACTGCAACTGGTCCAGATGAAATTCATTACCAGATATTAAAACATTTACCTTTTTCTACACTTTTAATATTATTAGATCTTTATAACCGGGTTTGGGTTGATGGGAATTTCCCCCCTTCATGGCGTGAAGCCATAATAATTCCCATCCCTAAACCGGGGAAAGATCCTACGAATTCTACCAATTATCGTCCGATCGCTTTGATTAGCTGCATTTGCAAAACCATGGAGAGATTGATCAATCGAAGGCTTGTTTGGTACCTTGAGTCCAACAACCTCATTACAGACCTCCAATGTGGATTTCGGTCCCAAAGGAGCACTCTTGATCATCTCGTTCGATTTGAAACGTTTGTCAGGGATGCTTTCATCCAGAAACAACATTTAGTTGCTATATTTTTTGATCTGGAGAAAGCTTATGATACCACATGGAAATATGGTATCATGCGCGACCTGCATAACCTCGGTCTGCGGGGTCGCTTACCTGTCTTTATTAAAAATTTCTTAGAAGATAGGTCGTTTAAGGTACGCTTGGGATCAATATTCTCTGATCCATTTCCCCAGGAAATGGGAGTCCCTCAGGGAAGTATACTATCTCCTACTCTTTTTTCCATCAAGATAAATACCATACCATCGTGCCTTAAACGTGGGGTCGACGGCTCTCTTTATGTT